GTCTGAGAGACAAACAGGGTACTTCCATTGCAATGATCACCATACCACTACAGATAAAGCAACGATCCGCATGTCTGTCGGGACCAATTTTGCGTGCCAGTCAGGACCAATCCGCAGGCCTGTTGGGTCCGTCTACACTCTCACTGGCAAGATAGCCGTAGAGGCACAGATCAGCCTGCTGAGTCCCCATTCCTTCCCTCGGTGAGTTTCTCGCAATGGTTCCACAGTAAGTGTATAAGGCAACAATCCGCATGCTCGTCGGGACCAATCCGAGTGCCTGTCGCGACCGATCTGCACACCTGTTGGGACAGTCGACGCTCTCGCTGGCAAGATAGCCACAAAGGCACATATAAGCCTCTGCTGAGTTCCCTCTCCTCGCTTGGTGAGTTTCTCGCAATGGTTCCACAGTAAGTATATAAATCAACAATCCGCATGCCTGTAGGATCGATCCGAGTGCCTGACGGGACCGATCCGCACACCTGTCCGGACCATCTATGCTCTCACTGGCAAGAAAAGTGCAAATGCCTGAGTCCCCTTTTGCTCCCTTGGTGAGTTTCTCACAATGGTTCCCACAGTAAGTATATAAAGTAACAATCCGCATGCCTGTCGGGACCAATCCGAGTGCCTGTCGGGACCAATCCGAGTGCCTGTCGGGACCGATCCGCGCATATGCCTACACTCCCACTGGCAAGAAAAGCAGAAAGGCACAGACAAGCCTGCTGAGTCCCCTTTTCCTCCCTTGGTGAGTTTCTCGCCTCGACAGTTCCACAGTGAGTATATAAAGCAACGATCCGCATTCGTGTCCAGACCGATCCGCATGCTTGTCAGGACCATCTACGTTCTCACTGGAGAGATAAGCAAATACACATTTAACTCAACTGAGTCCCGTTTACTGCCGTCGTGAGTTTCTCCCCCCTGCCTCCTCCCCTAACCTCCATATCCATCATGTTTATCCTCCCCCCTTGTCATTCATCCCTCAGCTCTTGGGAGTCTCCAAGAACAGGCCGTCTTTTCTTTTGTTTTTAACCTGTCTCTTATACACATCTAGATGTGTATAAGAGACAGGAGAGAGAGAGAGAGAGAGAGAGAGAGAGAGAGAGAGAAACTAAAAAAGCTTCTAGAGAAGTTCTAGTAATAGAGTACGGTACATCACAGTGAACAGATCGAGCAGATCCGACAGCTGCTGGAAGCACGAGAGTGAACGAAAAAATGATGTAACAGCATTTTTGAACAAATTTCAAGTTTCAGCCAGTATCTTAACCTCAGCAAAAAGTCCCCCAAGAACTAAGTCTTTTAGTGAACCCTGAGGATGTTGTCCTGAGTGTGTTGTGGAGCAGGAAGAAAATGATGTCATTGTTTTGGCACACGTCACGGAAACCTTATTTCAAATTGCTAGTTCTTACAAATTTAACGAATCCGAATCGGGCTAATTGGCCGCTTAACAAATCTGCTGGCAAAGCACAGGTTAAGCATCCTGTGCCATCAAATGGCTCTTTTCTAGACAGGAGCAGGGGTCCAGGGGATAAATACCCCTCAGGCTGGATCTGCCCTTCCCTGCCGAGCCTAAATCAACGAGGGTACCGAGGGCGGGTACCATTACAACCGTAGTACCGGGTTTCTGGCAGTCCAGAAGGGAAAAACCAGTGCCTATTTTAATTTTTAACTCACGACTTCCGGGCCCGGGGAAAAGGAGGCCCTCCCAGGTAATGGTGGATAAACCCACTACCGATGGGCGGCGGCCTCGCCTTTCTGCGCGCATCCGACGACGGTTAGCTCACTGCCGCAGATAAGCTCGGCCTACCGGAGGTCGGCGGCCTCGTCAGAGAGGGGCTGCAAAATTTCTCGAGTTCTAACTGTGGCGAGCTCTTGCTCGAGGCACATTCTTAAATGAAGAAGTCTGCAAAACTGAATTTGATGACTGTAGATTACATGCCGCTGAACAAAAGAGGAGGTGGGGGTTCAGAAACTCAAAATGAAACTTTCTACCGGTAAAAAGAAACATGACGCAAAGGCGACGCATATGGCCGCCACCGCCAAGCCCGGCGCCTACACCGGGTTGGTATTACAGGAGTGAGCAAAATCCAGCATCTAGAAAAAGGCGCTCGGACCCGCTGGTGGCGTAACGACATGTGTGATTCATTGAGTCCCGCGGACAATGACAGAAGTAATCATCAGGCAGACACAGAGGCCTCCTTCGGTAATCATACCCATCCTTAGGAGGGCCTATTCACACTTCTTCTATCTGAAATGTAACTGACTGCGTGTCCGCCCGGAACTGGACGTATCTAACTGCAATTACAACCATAAACAAGTAAAAAAAAAGTCCAAGTGTGAGTATGCCCTTAAACCACCACTACCTCCAAGCCCCTTTACACCGAGGCAAAGTAGAACTGTGCACCAAGCTTTGGCCGAAGCGCCAGCGCGGCACTTTTCATTTTGTTTTGGCTGGTGCAGCCAGCCTTTTTCTTGGTCTGGTAGCGCCCAGCCTCCACTGGCCTCCGAAGAACATGCGATATAGGTTATTTTTGCGACTTCGCCTTCCAGCCTCAAAGGTAGGCCTGGGGTGGTTTAAGCTAATCATATCATATCCATTCTAACGATTTCTCATCATTTTGCAAGACGTACTGGCGGCGATACCTGGACATAGATTTTGTCCCAGGACACGAATGCAGCGGCGTAGGCGAAGGAGTTGCTGCATGTCCTTGCAGGTGCTCGAGGATCGGACACCCAATCGTACTGCCAAGAGTAAGCTGGTCCACTGGAGGTCCCTTTCTTCCTATTTTTCCAATTGGCTACCCCATAGGAAGTACCTATCTTGATCTCTACAGGGCTTGTCAGGGGGACCCTGACCCGGACACCTCCCAGATCAACATCACTCCAGCGTGAAGAGACGGTTGTCGATCTAAGAAAGTAGACCGCACCGCTAGGAGAGAATGCCCCAAACATCCCGGGGCTGAAGAATGCCTGGGCAGGCAAAGACAAATGCCCGAACCTGTTCCTGACACAAGGTCTGAGATTGAAAGTAAAAGCGGAGGCGATCCACGCCTCACGCCGACACTTCAACGCATCGAAACGAGGTGCAAGGCCCCGTGTTCCTCTGGCATAGCCCGGTCCTCGTGCACACGTTTCCCTATCGCGTGAAGCACCCAATGGGTACTGGCTACGGAGAACCTTCCCTACCACTCCTTCCGCCCAGCTGAGGATTGCGCTAATTCTCGTGTACACACCCGGGTAGTCCGCGTTCCCGCACCCCTGACCGAAGCTGGTGGTCCCCACTAGAATAGGACACCCCTTGGAAGCAGATAAGGCTGTTGCAGGTCCTCCACTGTCTCCTTGACAAGTGTCGACTCCTCCCCCCGCACATCCTGCGCATATCATCACGTCCGGAGAGAATCGAGTTTTCCCCCCCTGGTTATACTTCACACAGCCATCCGGCAAATTATCGATCGTTGCTGCCCTCAATCTGCTGGTTAAGTATCCACCAAAATACAGGCTTCCCCAGCCGCTGATCGTCAGGTCGGATCCGACGCCCAAGCCGCTGTCATCGAATGCAAGCTTGATCGGAATGACCGTCTCCGTTATGGCCACCGCAAACTCCAGCTTCAGCAGGGCCACATCGTTCCTATAGGTTGATGCTGAGTGGTCGGGATGAACCGTTACCATCGACACCCGCCTTTCCTGGTCCCTGGTGGGAATTTCCGATCCAAGGTAAACAGCGACAGCAGCTGCAGGCACAACGCCTCCCTTGTGCAGAACGCAGTGCGCTGCTAACAGGAGGTGGGTGGTTGTAGAGAGGCCACAGACACCAGATAGTCGTAGGTAAGGCATGTGAAAAAACAAACAAGCAGTAGAGGTAACCAAAGGAGGACATGTTAGACAGCCAAAAACATCAGACAATCCTCAACTCCAAGTCCCAGTACATTTTTATTTTAGAGTACAACATTTTTCAAATACTCCAACAGTGTTTTTTTTTTTTTTTTAACATAATAACAGTTTGCCAAGCCTGCTGGCCAAGGAGTCGAACAAAGACAAGGATTTTAATTCTTTATAGATTTTAATATTTTATCAGCAACAATGCAATCAAACTCCACTCTGGACTTGCGCACAACATGCACACTTGAGAACCGATGGCAAAACCGAACTCTTCCAACTCAGAAACAACAATGAACTTGTATTAAACTCTGTCTGAGTCAACCGTACAACTTGCAGCTATGACCGCCGAACGCTGTCTCTACCACTGGCCTCACTTTCCCACACTCGCATACACGCACGTACGAGGATCACCCTGAATGTCCACGCTCCACAGACACACACACTCTGTACATCCTGTCTGCACCAACAGCCGGGCGGCTATGGCCGCCGTCATCTTCCTCCTCCTAGATATGGCCGCCATTGTCTCCCTCGCTGGTTCGCTATGGCCGCTGTCTTCTTCTCACCCCACTTCTTCTCCAGGCACCTGCAGTCATCCACGCACAAGTACCAAGGCAGCTCTTCCGCATGGCACACAGGCGAATGAAAGGCTGGCTGCCTCTTTATTTATACTTCTTTGGAGGTACCCGGGCCTGCCTCAAAATGTGTGGGTCTGGGCCAAAACGTGTGGCCCAGAGAAGCTTCCAGACGTTTGGCCTTCTGGCCAAAACGTGTGGAACCCACAGCGTGGTGCAGAACCTTCCCCGCGTGCAGCCCCTACCCCTGGTACCTGCTGACTGGACTGCATACAGGGACCTACGACCTTCTAGAGTCTACAGACTTACAGACAGACTCTAGGCCCAAAGTAGACTTAGGTAGAGACTTCTAGAACAGACTCTTTAGGCCTACCGGTAACAGACTCAACTCCTAATCCACAGACCTAGGGATCAAGTCCTGCACAGATCGCTCAGCCTGGGCCTATGTACAAGGTACAGGGTAGGTCTAGGGATCGAATCTCACTCAGCACACAGGGCCCATGTACAGGGTTTGGGCACAGGGCTAGGGATCCAATATCACTCAGCACAAAGGGTCAATGTACAGGGTTTGGGCACAGGTGTAGGGATCGAATCTTTGTGTCTGGAAATGTCGGGTTAACTGGGTGAAACCGTTTAAAACAATCAAGTGGTGAAAAAAAAAAGAAAAGGTAATGGTAGTGCTGGTAATTGATCCACTATACAGAACTAGGCTACCAGTGGGGCCGCCCGGGTCACCTTAATTTCCCCGGCGGCCCGGCCGTGCAAGGACCAGGGAAGGTCCCAGACAAAGAAATAAGAAAAAAGAAAAGAGTTCAAAAAACCGGAACAAAACTATGTTATGCAGAAAAATAAACTAAACGACTTCTTCTTTTCTTTTTTTTTTTTAAAAAAAAAAGGGCGACAGCCTTGAGATATCATCATTGAACTGACCTGCCCCAGGTACTTCAGACTTATTTAAATTTATTTTGTTCTGTTCTCAGACTGGTCATCTGATTGCATCTGGATTCAAACTTGGGTCTGTATTTCAATTTTCAACAGTTCACGGGTGTACCAACTGAGCTAGGCCCGTCGGTAAACTGAACAACTTTCGCCTCCGGGGAATTTTTCCCTTTTAACCTTGAGTCAGTTCATCGATGAGTTTTCTATCACGCGCGACCGGGGGCGACCCAGCAGATGACTTCCCCGGCCTCCATCCGTCCGTCGGATTTTCAGTAAAAAATGAAACCACAGTCGGATGGTTTTCCCCATCTTGATAATAGCAAAAAAAAAAAATTGAAAACCGAATACAACGCCCCCTACCCTAGCCCACTTCCGTTCAGCAGGTTACCTTTCCAGAAGCCGGGTAGGTAGCTCAAAGGTGCGGGCCATGGTTCTTCCGTTCCATTACAAATTTAAAAATTTCCATTGTCAGTGTCATGATTCCCGTACGTCAGAGCTGCCGTGATTCATGTGACCCTGGCTGAAGCCACGAATGCCTTTTCGACGGGCGGGCTCCACACTTGGGTTAGTTAGAAAATGGGTCTGTGATATAGATACTGCTTGAATGTGGTCGGTCTTGTTGTCCGCGTGCAGGTGTCGTGTTTTTGTTTTGTTTCTTTTGGTTTAGGTTAATGAATACAGACGAGAAAGCAGTGCGTTGTACACAGCAGCATTGTCTGTCCATGACGCAACTGACGCACCTGAATTGCATGCATGTAGATGGGTAATGGACCAAGTTGCAATCAGACTCGGTTTCTTCCACACTTCACATGCATGTAAACAGGTAGCACAGCAAACTGGCGACAAGCGCCCACTCAAAGCTCAGAGATATGGCAACCAAAAATCCAGTTCAGATACAAGCTCGCTTCAGATGGCTATGGCGCATCAGCGCCTGTACAACTCTCTGTTCGTCACTGTGCTCAACTCTGCTGTTCACACACACTCAACTCAGGATCACCCTGGATATCCCACACGCAACTCACTGTACACCCACGCACACACACGCTACACTCTTCTTCCAGCTATGGGGGCTATGGCGGCAACTACCTCTACCGCTATGACTAAGCTCTCCTCGGCCCACTTCGTCTTCGGGCATACTGCAGACCACCTCGCACAAGTCGCTGTGGCAGCACTTCCACATGGCTTACGCAGGAACGAATCAATGGCTGGGCGCTGCCTCTTGATTTATACTTCTGTAACTCGTTGGTCTGCCCCTTTCCCATGCCCGTGGTGCACACAGTCCCATACGGTACTTGCTTGACTGGACTAGGGCTGACTGGGACTGGTATCGCTGACTCAGCAAGGGTGGACTTCACCACTTGCCCACTTGCCTCTGTCTAAACGTGAGCAAGCTCCGAAAGGCCACTTCCGGACCTTCCGGAAGTCCGTAGACTTGGCATTTCGGTACCGTAGCAGCTATGACCTTGACCTTTCAGGACTATAGCAGCTACGACTTTGACCCTTCGGAGGAGCGACAGCTACGACTCCTAGGACCTGCTAAGACCTACCAACGACAGGTCCACAGATCGAACCCCTACAACCTACGGACCTAAGACAGTCTATCAACTGTTACGAATACACAGGTCACAGGTTCAACTCTCGGGGTCGACACAGGTACTGTACACAGGTAAGGTAAGAACTAGGGATCGAGCCCTGGGATCTGCATTTGCTACTGCTAACAGGTGAATACCGTGTCACTCCCGCCGGTCTAAATTCGAGGTCCTCCGATAATAATTCAGTCCAAGACCGGATTTTTACCCTTCCTTTCTCTCTCGTAGGCTCTAACTACGGCGGGAGCTGTTTCTAGAAGTTCAGTTCTAGTAAACCAGCGGTCACCCTCGGGTTCCTGATAAGCAAATCGGACCTTATATTGTTTCTGCGGACGACCTCTACCTCCTATTCTCAAAACATCTTCACCTACAATGCCCTCAATGTCATACCTCCCATCTCATGGATCTTCTAGATGGAAACTGTTGACTTGTGACACACGGCAACAACTTTGAGGCATGGAACACTGGGTAGGTGTGGAGGTGTGCTGGGATCTCTATCGTATAGGACGGCCCATCCTCTCCGCCCTTAACCTCTAGCACTGGCCACGGTCCTTTGTACGCTGGCAGTAACTTCTGCGAGATGTTTTCCTCAGGAGCAAACTCTTTCGACTTGTCCCAGACTAAGTCGCCTACTTGAAATTGCGACGGGCGGCGGTGCTTGTTCGCTTGTTCTATCATTCGGTGCTGGGCCTTCCTTAGGTTCTCAACGACGGTAGCTATCTCCTTTTCGTGCTGTATCGCAAACTCCCTGGTTTCGGGCGGTAGCCTATGAATCTGGTCCCGGGTAAGTCCCTCAAACGGTCTACGGGGTCTAAGGGACTTATGCAGCTCATTGGGAGTGCGACAGGTGGATAAGTGCACGCTGTTGTTGTACGCACTGGCTACCTTGGGCAACATCTCGTCCCAGTTAATCTGGTCGGGTCTAATGTACATGCGTAGAACTTGTTGCAGGATTTTATTCATTTGCTCAGTCTGACCATTTGTGGCGGACCCACCAGGTGTGGTGCTCCGCCTGGGACAGAGATGGAGATGGAGGATGAAGGGGGAGCGAGATGGCACAGCGCAGCTCCCACACGAGACTCCAACGCACATACTCCAAGATGTGCGAATGTAGAATGATCCGGAAAACAGACAACAGCTGGGGTATACCCCAGCGGACTGACTGGACTGGACTGGACTGGCTGGTACCGACAGAGGTACCGGCCTGGACTGGATTACCCCGAATACAACACAGGCCTGTGAGAACAGGGCAAGGGGCTGGTCTCACAGGCCAACCAGTGGTCCGCTACACGATCCTCGGCCTGTGATGGATCGCCTAGATACAAGCACGCTTCCGCCAAGGAGCAGAACTCTACCAAAGAAAAAGAAAAGTCGAGTAGTCTAGGATGTGGAGCAAGCTCCATGTTAAGTCCATCTCCATGTTGAGTCCATGCGATGCAACCTAGGATAGAAAATGTCACAAAGAAAAAGAAAAGTCGAGTAGT